AAACAAGACTTCAAGACCACGGCCACACAGCCCGGAAGACCCACACCAGCCATTTTAAATTATGGTTTGCAAATCAAAATGGCTGGAGTCGCACGTTGCCTACACTAAAATCAAGCAAACTACGTTCGGGCTTGGCATGGTCAGTGATCCTAGGTTCAGTTCTTACTTCTCTTCCACCTCCCCTCCCTTTCTGACATTTAACTTTCTCAGGATGCCAACTTTCATCAGACCCAGCTAATATGGCTCACGGCCAGGGACATTAAGAATCACAGTTCATCATCTGCAGGGCGGTAAGTTCTCTTCCACCGATTTATGCATTAAAATCTGCACTCAGTGATGCTGCCAAATCAGCCCATCAATCTATCCTATAACAAAATTAAATAAATTAAATTTATTTTGTATGCTTTAAAACAAAGGATTTTATTCTGACAAAATCACCTTCCCAGCAATGTCTGGGAAGGAGCAATTCCTACTGCTGTTCATCAGAAAAGAGGTCTCTGTGGCAGCCAAGAGATTTTAGAGATTGCCCAAGACCAAAAATATAGTAGTGGATAGATATGACTTGTAAAAATATTGCATTTAAAACAAAAACAACTGCCCAATCAAGCAAGGTGCCTTTTAACCGATTAGAAGTCTTAATCAATTACTTGTTGCAGCAAGGTATTTAAAACTGTCAAAACTGTTCCTTTTCCTGCACCAACTTACCTTTTTCCTTCCATATTTTAACCTACCTTGAAGTTTCTTAAAATCTCCTGTGTGTTTTTAGGCTGGGAGTAAGGCTTGGGAGTCACCAGAGGCACAGCCTTGGAAATTGAAGGTCTGCTTGAGGTGGGGGAGCCGGTGGAAATGCTGGCGTCTGATCCACTGGTGGGGGCGATGGTTGCTTCAAACTTGGCAGTATATTTTGGGACCGGGAGCGACTGCTGCCGTAAATATCGGAGGGGATTGGGGTCCTTAGATGGGGAGGATGCGTTTGGCTCAACAGAATGGCTTCTCTCCAGAAGTTTTGGCATCTCCAAGCGTTCAAGGACAGCTTCACTAATGGTGAATCTCTCAATGTAATGCTGAAGAATACTATCTGCCTCTTCCTGAGACCTGGCATTCTTGTAGGCTTCATGCAACTCTCTCTCGCGTTTCTCTCTATTTTGAGTGTAACAGAAACAAAATTGCAGAATGATACCTTTGGAGCACAAGCGGGCAACTATACAGAAGAAAGAAAACCCAACTCAGATCTCATCTGCAGTGGCAAAGTAACAACACCCTTCTGCTGCTCTACAGGCCATTACTTTTATTTAAAGTCACAGCAAGTGCTGTGCATATGGAAAACTACCACGTGAAGCAGGAGATCTGTCTGAATACTGATGTGCTTGTACTACTTCTACCTTAGAGGACAATTCAAGCATTCAGCCGTGATGTTCTGCAAATACACATGCACAGTTGCAACCAGCAGTCATACAATCCAGAGGAAGTTTGGTCAAGGTGTTCTGATGACTCTGTAGATATAGAGGGCAGAGGGAATGGCCTTGAGGGACAGGAGGAAGAGCCACTACCAAGGCAACCATCAGATAAAAGAGGTCTGAGTCCAGAGAAGAATGTAATGTGAGTAAACATCTCAGCAGGCCCCTCCCTAGTTCTCACAAAGATAAAGGGAAGGAGGGGGGAAGCTTATTCAGACTTGAAAGATTCTGTTGCTATAGCTTACCATAAAGTAGTATTGACCTACATGACATGGGTTTCCTAGTCTGGTCTACCTTGAAGAGCTGACAGCAGAAGGCCTTGAGCTGGAATCATTCCTGCATATGCCTACTTTATACCTTCACATGAAATATGGCAAAATCCTGCTGATTGTTTTGACCAAGTGATACAGATGGAGATGGTTGTTTGTGCACTGCTTTGGATTTGAAGGCCAAAGCTTTGGGGGTGTGGGTGTGGGGGCCACATCGCACAAGATGGCACCTCTTTAAAGCAGGTGCCTGGGATGAGATGGCGACTCCCCATGGCTGCCACAGGAAAAGATGTACTTGGTTTAAGGAATTGCCTTTAGGTGTTGCTTACACATTACGAAATCCATCCTTTTCCTCATTTATTTGTCAGCTTTAAGCAGCCCCCTCTTTGCAGCAAATTTTAATACAGAGCTGGGCTAGAGAAATCCTGCTTAAAAACAGGAAGGACCCAAATTTTGCATTTTTGCCTCCTGTGCTTCTCAGAATACGTTTTATATTCCAAGAAGCATGGGGCAATAATGCATTTTACAAACACAGAACTGTCAAGCGTAATGATTGTTTGGCCGTAAGGCAAATAAGGCTGGACTGTCATTTCTATAGCCATGGCTGCTAAATACACCAGGACTGCCTGGGTTCATTCATACACTCAACCCAACCCACATTATGATCTGGTGTGCTTTTTGCAACCAGCCTTTGCTTCCTTAAGGCCACCTACTTCTCTTCCACAATCTCTCTGTATGTCTTGATGCTCTTCCTTCTCTCACTGATTCCTTCAGCTCCAGTGAGTAGCAGTTCCATCTTCTTCCTCTCAGCTTCTTTTTTCAGCAAGTCTTGTGAAGCGCTCCGACGACGATTTTTCCACCGGGCTAAATCCTACACAAAATCACAGGGCGGAGGCAGGGGAGAAGAAACATCCAAGTATTAGATGTTTTACTGAGTGGCAGTGCTATGAGGCATCCATGCTTGGTCCTTGACCCTCAAGTATCTTGTCAGGCCCAGCCCAAGAACCACAGGGAAACAGTCCGGCCAAGTTCAGTTCTTTTATTGTTTACACCATATAGACAGAATCTTGCCAGACTAAATCTGTACTACTTTAATCTAGGGGATATACCCTAGGAGATTCTAGGGAGTGGCTATCCGATATCTCTTCCTCTTCCCACACTCCTGCTCCAGACTGTGCTGTCACTTGTCTCCCCACTCCTGGAATGTGCTCCCTCCTTCCTGAGAACCTGGTGCTCTATTGCAGTGTTCCTTAAACTTAGCGACTTTAAGATATGTGGACTTCAACTCCCAGAATTCCCCAGCCAGACATGCTGGCTGGGGAATTCTGGGAGCTGAAGTCCACATATCTTAAAGTTGCCAAAGTTGAGAAACACTTCTCTAGGGAACCAGTGCACTCAACTCTTATTAACTCAACCTCTCTGAGTGAAGGCATTTAATTAGCTATGAAGGAAGAGAAAGAAAGCTGCAAATAAGGAAGCTACTGTTGAAGAACTGTTGTCCTGTTCACTGCCTCCTGGAAAGATGGAAGATTTGTTAATCAGGGAGGAAAATTTATTTTTCCCATGTTTCTTTCCCCTACAGCTCGGCCCCACTTTGCTATATAGACGGACTTTTCAGCCGAATCGTAGCCAGAAAGCAGGTTAGAATGTTCCCACAAATACTTTTTCCCACAAAAATTGCCCTCTAAATGAACAAGTAGCTACATCATCAAGGAACGTTATATCCTAGCTTCCTTACTGAATGCTAGTGTTTTTGTTTGCAAGAATTATTCTTTTATAGCTCAGCTCCGAATCTTCATAAAATCTGAAACGGTACAACACAAACATGTTTACTGCTTTGGGGAGGGCTCTGTTTAACGTAATACAAAAACCATGTATTTTATGTCTGTCTTATTCAGATACAAAAGAAAGCTATTTAGTGATGGAGTTCATTAATGTTATTAAAAGGTGCCTACCAGTTGTATCTCATTGTTTTTAAGGAGAGCTATCTCTACCGGCTTGCAAGCATTCGAGTGACCATGGGAGGGCAGCAAAGGGCTAGGATTTTCAGTATCTCTTTCCTGCCATCTATTGGTCATCTAGACTTTTGCAACACATATCTGGGAGCCCAATTTTAAGTGATTTTCTCCAAACAAGCCTGGTTCATTTTGCTGAAATTGTGCTAAACAAAATGCTACTTCAAGAACCAGAGCGCGCTAAAGTGTATCTATGGGGAGGAAAGAGATTTTAATTCCCTACACAGTACAGTTTTGTTTGCAATAATACTTTGCTCTCCCCATGACAAACATATGAACAGTTGTCTCATTATGTCTCATCTGGCCTTCTGTGAGAGATTGTGGGCAGGCTGGGAAAGGACCAGCAGAGAACAGAGTCATAAGCAATCAAGAGAAATCAGCAGCCTGCTCATTTAACATCTTATCTCATAAGGGATAACTCGGCCCAGGTGGAGAGAAATCTGGAAAGAAGTGTTTCAAAATATTTAGAGAGACTGCCAATTCACTCACTATAAATAAGGCCAGAAAATTCCTCTTACGATTTCCAAGCTTCGCTATTTACCCTAGATTAGCATTAAAGATGCTTTGCAGAAATCTGTATAATTCTTGCTTCTTTGACCTTGCCCAGCTGCAAGACTTAGCCAAAAATATATATATATATATATCTTGGTACCTTCAGAATGAGTCCTTGGTGCTCTAGAGTAGTCTGAACTAGTGTGAAGTTAGATTATGAGCACGCCTAAGTTGGAATCTCTCTCTCTCTCTTTGGTCATGTGTGACAATGTATTGTAGAAGCACAAGCGGGTAGTAAAAATGAGCAAACTCATATTCACAAAAGGGACTGATTTCTGAGGCAACCTTTTTAATAAGCAACTCCAGCAGGACAAAAAGTGTTATGTGTGCTGTAAGGGAACGGCGCTTCAATTCTGGGCCCTTGCACACAGTGATTTGGCCCATGGTGATGGACAAGGGCTCCTGGACTTCACACTTTGGAGGGCATTTGGGCCTATTCACATGTGGCTCTGGTACAGTTCAGGGGGACCTGATAAAGATACAGTTTAGAAAGAATAACTCCAGAGTTTCAGGTGGGGCAATTTCCAATGGATAGAGTTCTACCATATACCACATCCCCAGCTCTTTACTTGCCATGGTTCAGGCATCGTGGCCCCAAGCTACCTTTCCTGTCTTCTTTCTAAAATGAGAGAGAACTTTCAAACTCCCCCCTTCCACTAGTTGACTGTTATTTTTAATCCAATAGATATTGACAAGGTAGGAGGAGGACAAACAGGGAGGCTGGCTGATTTCTGTGCTTCCCCCCTACCCCCTTGGTCAGATATAGGAGGTGGGGGGGGGGCTCATGGAGAGAACTACAGAGAAGCCCTTGGAGAAGGAACGCAAAGACCTTTAGTGATACATGAATTAAGCCCAGGAAGACAAGATAGCATGAGAAACCAAAGATTGATTTTCTTTGATATAAGAGGAAGGGAAGACAAAATACTGACAGGCTTTCTAGACGTGTTTCTCAACCTTGGCAATTTTAAGATATGTTGACTTCAACTCCCAGAATTCATGTCTGGCTGGGGAATTCTGGGAGTTGAAGTCCACACATCTTCAAGTTGCCAAGGTTGAGAAACACTGGTCTAGACTGATGTCAGCCCTCCAAAAGCAGGCCAAGTCCGCAAATGGACTCTACAAGAAATCCTGGAACTCTACTTTATTGATATAGGCAATGGTAACAGGAAATTGAAATCTTATACCAAAGAGAGTCAAACTGGGATTAACTTTAATTTTGTATAATAACTATATGAATTAAAAGAGAGAATAGGTTATTCCAGTCTGGCCACCATTGTGATTTCTTCACAGAATGGCTAAGAGTCCTTGCTTGACAGGTGTCCATGAAAGTCGCTTCAGAGAGCTTTAAATATCTTGTTTACACACTTACCCATGTTCTTAGTCACCCAGAAATAGTTGGTCTGGTCAGTAACAACATATTGCTTTTCCCTTCCTTGGAGGGCACCAATTCAGCCTGCCCCCTCATCCCCAATGTTTCCCCCACAATCTGTCTGCGCTTTTCTCAGCCAGCATCCTTGTCTGCAGCGGTGCTGAGGGAGCATGTCTGGCACAGATACAGGGATCTGGGAAGTTGCCA